ACAAAGGCTTTCGTCAACCCCAACTAATTTCCTGAACACTGCAGCTAGTCAATGTCTGAATGAAAAAAATTCGATAGTGACCATTCAAATCCTTAAAGTTCAAAAGAGGTTACAGCATCTAGATTTTTTAAACTGGAATGTGAATGCCACTTGTAAAAGAAATATGTCTGTACGGTTTTTATTTTTTTAATTTTTCCATATTTGAATATGTTAGGACTTGTAATTACACTGCTAAATGTTTATGATTCATTTCAGCAGAAGTAGCTAGGGATGACGAGAGGGCGGGAGTGTGAGTATAACCATTCTCTATGATGCAGAAAGGGAGATGAAGTAGAAAAGAGGATATTTTTAGATTCCCTCTTTGAAACAAAAATAGCTTATCAGGTGATTTGTTTACTTTTAAAATAGAAAAAAAATGACCAAATATCCAACTTGGAATTTTCTGAATCATGCACAATTCTATTTCAGGAGAGTAATTGTCATAACTGCAGGTTATTTAAAAAAAAAAAACTTTCTAAAAATATAACTCCACAAGGATAGACAAATGTATTTACACCACAGAGTATTTGTACACCAAAGGAATTTGCTACTTCCCTTATAAGCTACACAATGGCATTTAAAGAACTTGCTAGTAAATTTACTGCCTAAATTAGAAATAAAGAGGAGAAAAGGAATTAACACATAATTTGCTTTCACTAGGTGTAAAGTTCTTTCATTTTCATTCATTATTCAACAGAAATTTATGGAATAGGAAGACATTGGGCTAGATGTAGAAGATGCAAGAATGAGCAAGACATGGTACCTGCCCTCAAAATGCTCTGTCTAGAGGTAGAAATATACACATACCCTCACACACATACTTAGATATACATATGCTTACATACAAATGTATCCTCAAATACCCATACACACATATATTTATACACAAACACACATGCTCATATACAAACACACATACATACTCCCATATACTTAATATATTTACACATATACACATACATACATATTCACGTATAAACAGATATACACATATATACCCACGGATCCACACTCACACATACGTGCTTGGGAGCTAACAAAGTGGAGACAGTGAATAGAGTACGTTTTCAGTAAAGGAAAGAAGAAAGAAACAGCAGTGGCAACAATCCTGTGAGGTAGTTATTAAAAGCTCAGTAACACTAAGGAGACAGTCTTAGTGAAGTTAAATGCTAGGGAGTTTGGTTTACCAAGATTTGGATTACAGTTCAGATCTGCCATTACTGTTTCTGAGGTCATGACCATGCTATTTAACTGTTTCAGTTTTCTTCGCTTTTATATGGGGCCCTATCATAATACCTGCTTCATCGGGTTGATAAGAGGTTTAGATGAGACGATGTTAAAAATCACTTCACACAGTGCTAGCACATAGTAAGCACTCAATACATATTCAATTTTTAATTTTTAATGATATCCTTATTATTATCATCAGTGAAGGTTAGTTACCTGGTAAATTGTGAAGATAGTTTTCCTCCCACCAAGCTGTTAGTGAGAATGTCTTAAAGGGGAGTGGAGCCAAAAAATTGTGTATTAAATGAATACTTTACGTGGTCACTGGAAACTTCACTTTTAAAGGTTTAAAAATTCAAGGAAGCCAAACCATGATTTACAAATAACACAAAAATCTAGAAATCAGGGTCTTTACTGGGAAAATCTGAATCTTTCTAAATGACATTTCACTGGTATTATTAAATAATTTCTGTGGCTATAAATTTATGGAAAAAATGTGTGACCTATTAGTAACTCTATGTCACTAAAGTATGTTAGACTTGATCACATCGCTTGAACAATACTAACATCATTTGATATTATTCATTGATATGATGAGACAATTCACAAAATAAGAAATCAAGGTGGCCGATATACATATGAAAAGGTGTTACATCAATGTAATCAGAGAATTGTAAATGAGAGGTTATTTTGGGCTATCAGGTTGGCAAAGATTAAAAAGATAGACTGATACTTTGGTGCTATTCAGGGTGTGGTGAAACTGGCACTCTCATACATTGTTATTAGGAGTATAAATTAGTACAATTCTAGAGGCCAATTTGGCGATATAGGTAAAAAAATTCTTAATATGGTCTTTGACTCAGCAACTCTACTCATATTTTATCTTAAGGGAATATAATCGGACATATACACAAAGATACTTGTATGTGCATGCTCACTGCGATGTTGTTTATGACAAAAAACTAGAAACCACCTAAATGCTTACCAATAGAGAAATGCTTAAACAAATTATGGTAGAGCTATACCCTGGGACTCCATGCACCTATTAAAAAGGATTAGATAGATCTATTTGTGCTGGCATGGAAAAATGTCCATGATCCATATTAGATACCATTTTTATATTAAAAAAGTGTATGAATAGTAAAAATCTAGTTATATATCTATATACCTTACTTTTTAAAAGCAGATGTATTGTGGTAATAATTTATATTTAATAAAATTCACTTATCGTAAGTGTATAATCTAATGAGTTTTAGTAAATGTATACGGTTGTGAATCATTACTACAATTTAGTTTTAGAACATTTTTGTTACCACTCCGATAGTTCCCTCATGCACATAGACTTAACTTTAACAAGGGGTTTGGTTGGGGGTGAAGGTGGGTAGGAGAAAGGCAGGAGGGGAGACTTACAGACAGCTTCCTAGTTTATCATTTCTCTATTATTTCAATTAATTTACAACAATGATATACCATCTTTTAATTTGAGAAAACAGTAAAGGTTTTTCTATTTTGAAAAGAACAAAAAAAGGAAACAGACTTAAACCTTTGACCCAAATCCACTTCTGGTAATTTGCCTAAGGAAATAATCAAATATGTGGAAAAGGATATGTGAACAAAGATATTTATCAATGTTTTATCTAAAATAGAGAAAAGTTCTATGTAATCTAAATATCTGATGATGCAAGAAAAAATTATGAATCATACTGAAATATAAAAGTATAGAATGTAAACCTTTATATACACTATAATTTAATCCATGTAAAAAAAAGGTAATGCAGAGCCCAAAAGTCCTATTTGGAAATATAATAAAATTTTACCAATGGTTATATCTGGATGGTAACATTAAAGTAATTTTTATTTTGTTGTTTTCCAAGATGATTATGTATTATCATCATTGATAATATCTTTACATCTAGTGTCACCTACATAAGTGATACTAATTAAAAATAGATTAGGTCCACAGCCATGCCACCCTGAACACAACCCATCTCCTCTGATCTAGGAAGCTAAGCAGGGTCAGGCCTGGTTAGTACTTGGATGGGAGACCACCTAGGAATACTGGGTGCTGTAGGCTTTAAAAAAATAAAATAAAAATAAATTAGTTATGGTATTGTTTTCACAGGTGTTTACATTTGTCAAAATATAAATTAAATATATAATTTATCGTATGTCAATTATATGTCAATAAAACTTAAAAAATAGAGGGATCTTGAGAAACAAAATCATTCTAACCCTCTTACTGGAAGAAGGGTTTTGTTAGGCGATTTTGCGGCTGTGGGGCAAAATGGTTAGGGAGGGGTATGTGGGTGTTATATAGACAGTAACGTTGCCTCTGCACCCATAACCTCCATTAGGTCAAGTGACCTGCCTTCCTATTATACGCCAGGAATGTGGTCAGGTATTTGGATACCATGATGAGCAACAAGACACTGCCCTGAAAGAGTTCTCTTCTGGCTGAGAGGAAGGCAGGTCACTATCTGATAGATTCCAGCCAACGCCCACATTGTCCCACCAGGCAGTCTTCCAGAAGTGCTGTCCAAGGGGTCGGACGCAGTTCAGGAAGCGAAGGCCTTACTAAGTGGTTCCGATGGAGTCACGAAGGGTGGCACCAGGATTACAGCTGTGGAAGTGGCCAGCTGTGGAAGCGGCCAGAAAGTAGATTACCCTCAACGAATGTCGCGGTTATTACTAGAAAAGTGAGCTTTTCACATATCTGTCCATCTTATCTGCACACTTATAACAGCAAGAACTAAAATTGAACGTTTGCCAGTGCAGGCACCGTACGAAGGGCTTCTATCCATTGCCTCATATACTCCTCTCCACAATGAAGAAACTGAGGCTGGGAGAGGATATCGCCCAAGGTCACAGAACTAGTAATCTCTGGCTCCAAAGTTCCCAGCCACCACACATACTCCCCTCTCACTGTATTCTGGGACCCACATGAGAGCGCAAAAGTCCACTTTCCGGCCCCAATCGGGACAGCTCAGCTTTCACTCTACAAATATTCCCAGATCCATGATGGAAGCAACATCCGCTAACGCAATCAACAGGGTCCTGACCACGGGGGCAACTCCGTCAATGCCGTGGGCAGACCAGGACTTAGGGCTTGGAGAGCAAATGGGGAGCAATCATCAAGGAACGACCGGCGCAAGCGTCCACGTCGCAAACCGAGCTGCACGCCCTGGAGCCCCTCCGGGCAGCCAGCAGGCTGCGCCCAACGCGCGTGCGC